CCTTATAAAAAATGTTTTATCACATTTAGTTCGAAAAAGAACACGCAGAACCCAAACCGCAGCAGCCCTGCAGTGAGTTCCAGACATGACTGACCCTGCAGGACCCGAAACCCCTGAGAGTCCAGCCCAGGGTCACTCCCCAGCCCAGGAGGCTCTGCCAGACCCCTGTCCCAGTCTGGGGAGCACAGACTCTGCTGCCCTGGCTGAAACACAGCCTGCCAATTGAGAGGACACACCACAGGCAGGTTTGGCCATCCAGCTGCACATCCAGGCAGTGCCACCCCTGCAGGCAGCCTGGCCAGCTCTGGGCTGCCCTCCCACCTCACCCAACCCACACTCAGTGCCAAGAAGTGATCTGCAATCTATTTCCATCTCCTTTGATGTTGTTATCTGCAATCTATTGAAGTTATCTGCCATCTATTTCCATCTCCACCATTTTATTGCACGTTGGTGGGCAAAATCCGCTCTGTCCTTGCCTTCTCAAAAGGATGCACAAGGAGTGATGCAATCTCTTGACTTCCATGGAGTTTCTCTTCATACTTGCCTTATGGAAAGAAATTCACCATTCAGACACTGCCTCCCCCCCCCCATAGCCAAAATCCTGCTCTTTTATCTACCTGAAGAATGGGAACAAACATTGTCTTAAATGGTTCATTAAAGATTTCGGTTTAAGGAGCGGCAATCTGCAAAAAGTGGGTAATGGTATAGGCTGCATCAGCATGCTGATAGCAAATAATAGGAATATATTAAATATACCATTTATATACATGTGCCACCGAACTGTGCAAAAACAAGAGTGGTATCAAATAACCAGATGAACAGCAGAGGTATTTATTGGAGAAGAAATCCAAGCAATAACCTCTACATCCAGAGAACAGAGCTGGAGGCATTCTAACAAGCCTGAATTCTAATTGTCAATTCTGACCTAACAAATTTGGATAGCAGGTTTGAAGACAAAAGAAAAAAAGGCCACAACAAAAGAAATCAGTTCTGAAAAAAAAATCACATTACTTCAAAACCTACATTGAAATCATTTTATGGAGAAAAGAAAGAGAAGGTTGAAAATGTTTAAATAATAGTAAGCTATTTCTTTCAGTAGGTTTTGCTCCAACTTATGTACTAATCCTCACTAAACTTTACAACCCATTGATATGCCCACAGCCACCTCCTTCCATCTCTTACAAGTTCAGCTCCTTATCACTTGACCAAGATCATTGCTTTGAGGGCTTAGTCTTGCAAATTACTGATATTCTGCCCCCAGACTCCAAAGCACTTGGACAGACATTAGTGTTCAGGGAAACTGCTGATGGAGTTAGAGTTAAGACTTGTTTTGGATCAGGGCCAGAGCAGGTTTTTCTTCCCAGGATTAAGTCCTAAATCTCCCTGCAGAAATGGTTCAGTTCCAGTTTTTTACCCATTGTTTTGTTCTCTCAAATTCTTCATTTGCTTTCATCTTTTGGAGGAAAATCAGGGCCTAAGGCCTGGCTCACTCATATATTGTTGCTCTTTTACATGAGCAAAACAATTTAATGGACTGTCTTAAATCAAATCTGGGAAAATGATTATCTGGGTGAATGGATGTGTTTGTGCACTGCTGCCTTCAGACAGCTGGTCACCAGGAAAAAACTCTTCCCCACAGTACACTTGCATAAAACTGTACCTCTTTGGGATAAGAATGAAATAAGCACAGGGTCTTTGCCAACAAGATAATCACCAGCTCTTCCTGATAAGAAACATCAACCAAGAGGGCTTAAACAAGGAAGAGAGCAGGAGAATTAAAATCCATTATTCCAATAAGGTTTGGAAGCCTGCATGTTTAAGGGTGGTGATTAATTTTTAGATGTAGCTTGTTTCAAAAACAAATTAACAACATCTCTGGCAAAAATCTGTGGCATGCCAGGGAATAAATTCTCATTTCTGTGGGTGAGGTGTTGGAAAATTTTGGTTTCCTTTGTTCTAATTGATTTCGAAACACATCAGAGTGGGCCTTTCACATTGCATGGGAGTGGAAGTCTAGAGCAATTTCACTGGGGTTTTTTTTTTTTTTCAGTTTAAAATTATTTGACAGAACTTTCTGAGTAATAACATTGACACCATTTTATTGAATGTTGATGGGCAAAATCTGCTCTGTCCCTGCCTTGCCAAGAGGATGCAGAATGAGTGATGACTTCCATGGAGTTTTTCTCCATAGCTCTGATGAAAGCTCAGTCCAAACTCCAGCATGTCAGTGGATTTTCAGCTCACAGCAATTTTTGAAGTTAGACAGAGCATTTTACAGAAAGTAATCACATCTCGCGGCAGAGCTGGTCAAAGCTCATCTCACACTGGCTGTGTAACAGAAAAACTACACAAGAAGCCAAGCAAATTCAAACTCAGTCATGATTTAGGGAAAATGCATCATCTGGTAAAAGCTCCATTCTTTATTTATCAGCTGAAATGCCTCTTGTCTAATCCAGTAAACAACAACATCAGCTCAAGTTCACTTTAAGGCAAATCATTCTAAGCCGATTGCTCCTACTTTCATCCCAATAAAAGTGCTAGAATATTCAATATTTGGTATTTTTATTAAAGATAGAAACTGCTTTCAAAGTAGTAAACAATTAATGAATCCTGATTTTCTTCAATATTTCGAGCTCTTAGTTGCTCTTTTTCAAATTATTATTTGACCATCCCAACAAAAGCCTATGTGGCTACTGAGCAAGTGTATCTAGGCACATTATTTCTGTGAGGAAAGAATGCTTCTGGCTAAATCTAATATAATTAAGGACTGCTACACATGATCCCTCAAACAAAATCTGCTTTGGTAGAAATCAATGCCAGGATGCATGTTAATTCTTTAATGCCAATATTAACGCAATCTTGTGCGAGCTGTTCCTTTAGGGTATGCTTTAACTCAGACATGCAGTGAGGCTGCTTTCAGCAAGAACAGCAAGCTGGGCTGGTCAGGGAATAGGTGCATCCTGAGAGCACCTCATGGCAGATCAGTGCAATAATAATACATCCTGAATATATAATCATTATCATCCTGAATAACTGGATCAGTTCCACTGCCAGCACAAGTCCCTGCTAGAGGCAGGGCCCAGATAAGCTACATTTATATTTCTGGGTGGACATACCCTTGGTGTTGCTGCCAGGTGGATCCCAGATGATTTTTGGGGGAAAGCAAGGCAGACTTTGACTCCTGGTGCATGCTGGGCTCTCACCTTGGCTTGTATCAAAATAAATCTACACCTAAAGATTATTCCCAGGTTCTGGAGTCTGGGTGTAGCCTCATTTCAACAGAAAGTAAAGAATGGATTAAAAAAAAAAACAAACATAGAAATCTGAAATTCTAGTAGTGTCTTTTTGATTACTGCAATTTAAAATCTATTTGTCTTTATGTCCCTTCCTATAGGTGAATGTTACAGAACATTGTTGTGCCACCTTCACTGCATTCAAATCCTACAAGGAAAGCTGCTGCCTTTCACAGCAGCTGCAGCACCCAAACCCACTTGAATTATCTCTCTGTTTATAAGGCACTGCAATATAAATGGAACTCTTCTGTACAGTTTCAGATCAAATATCCATCTTGTAAGCTAAGTGCGTTACATTAAAAAAAAAAAAACAACAAAAAACCTCAAAAAACAACACAAGAAGAGCACACACAATATGAAATTCCAGGTTTAATCTGCCCAAAAGCCTCCATAATTTACTTTCAGTGACACATTCTTTAATTACATTATGAAAATGATTATTTTCCTCCTAGAACTCAGCCTTTTCCACCAAGCCTCACCCTGAAGGATAATGTTGCAGATAATCCACCTAAGGAGCACCTTCCTCCCAACAGCTGGCTCCTGAAGCCTTTAGGACTAATTAAGGCTATAAGTAACTAGCAAAACTTGCCTATTGGCAAAGAGCACAGCTCCAGGACTGCATTTCACATTCCTTGCCAAAGTGAGCTCTAGCTGAAGCTCTAAGGAGCAGCACAGCTGTAAAATACCTGAATCCAGGTCAAAATTCAGTCTGTCTTCAAACCCAACCTCTGTGTGTGCCCACAGCCCTTCCCTTTTCCAAATCCAGGTCAAAATTCATCACATCTGAATTCAAGCCTTTCCCAGCAAGCTGCTTTGCCCAAGACCTGCAGCTTGTGCAGGGAAAATTCTCCATGCAGCCATAACTCCCAGGCCCACACAGGACAAAATACCACGTGCTCATGCTCAACAGGATGAAGTAAAGAAAAGCCAGAATTCCCATGGGTTATGAAGTCATACACCTAAAAATACTGCAGCCTTTTGACACTTCAGAGGACCCATTTTCAGCAGTCTGAGCCTGGTTATACAAGGAAAAGAGTTTTATGCTGTTTCATGGAAGGTAGAAGTGAGCATAAGTTTACAACAAAGGAGGGGCATCACCCATGGCCTGCCACAAAACTGATGCACTCACACAGTGCTGGCCCTTGGGAACACAGAGCTCCTCAGATAGTTCTTCCTTGGTCAAGCCTTAAACCCAAAAAATTTCCTTAAAAAGTTGAGATTTTTCACGGAGATAAGAACACAGTTCACTCATTTTTGTAACTGATGTTGATTCTACTTAGTAAAAGTCAAAGCAAGAAATATTGGAGAGATAAATTCCATCACTGAATAAAACTGCCTTCCATCTTTTCCACTTTGCCATGATTTACCTGTAATCCCAATAAATAAATTAGCTCAACCTTCAACATGAATGAAATCTATTTTTGCAATAGTATTACAAAAAGTTTAAAAATATTCACTTATATTCAGTCACTGAAAGAGCCTCCCTGTTATTTCTGTTGTTGAAGAATTTCAAATGTGCAACAATCCTTTCTGCAATGTAAAAAAGTAAATTCTTCTCATCTTTCAAAAAAAAAAAAAAAACAAACCATTGGACTTTCCACATTTTCAAAGCCTTCAATTCTGCCATTCAGGTCTTCAGAGCAGTCACAGAAACACTGAATTAGTTATTTTTCAACAGTGGAGAAATGGAAACATTTGAGTAATTACCTCTTTTGAAGGATCAGTGGCCAAAACCGAAAGCACATCCTTTTAAAATAGTAGTAATTGTTCTTCCATCTGAAAGAAAAATGAAAATATTGTTATATAAACAAGAAGCTTTAAGCCCAACATGACTCAACAAGTGGGTGAATGTCGGAAAGCAAAACTTTTATGTGATATCTGAATTGTGTAGTTTCTACTCCAGCCTACTCTTCTTCTGTAACAAATTTACCCCTGGTTTTAGACATTTCTACTTCTTAAAGAGGAAAATTTTTTTAAAAGCCTTTTATTCTAAGTAACTATGCTGCAATTATTGTAATTATTTTTTATTATTTAATTTTTTACTCCATTTATAGGCCATTATCTTAGTCTGTCATTAGCAATTGGTAGAAAAATTTTCCTAAGCATAAACAAAGTAGGCCTTATGGCAATAAGTGCTATCTTTAGGAATCTATAAAAAATGCTTTTGTCTATTCCTGCCAGAAAGCATGACCTCTTTTTAATGATACAATTATCATAATTATTGAATATTGTCATTACAGTCAACTCATGTAAGCACGCTGCTTCATAAAAAGGAACTACACAAAGGCATTGAAATACACAAAATTCAAGTTCAGACCACAGAACCCTGGAATAATTCAAGTTGGATGCAACCTCTAACTCAGCCTCCTGGATGCAGACCTGTCTGCCCACAGCTTCTTCAGCTGTGAGTGAAAAGTTTGGAAAAACAGACTCCACAGCCTCTCTGTCAGCCCTTTCCAAGGTCTGATTTTCCTCTGGGTGATATTTTCCCCCTTTATGTCAAGCCTGCAGCACCCAGGGCTGACTTTAGGGGTCCAGCCCTGCTGAGCTTCAGGGTCAGACAAGTTCCAGTGCGTTCAGGGGCAGGAGGAGACAACATGATGTAAAATAACTCCTAAATTAGGTTGTCATCCTTGCACAGGACCCTGGCGATAAAGGTGGTGCTTAAATGTGCAAGTTGCTGTCTGAGAACAAGAGCATCAAACAGAGAAATGTCTTCAGTAAATATTATTCAAACCACATCACTCAAACCTATTGCAAACAAATGTTTCCAACGCTCTTTTCAGTTATTCCAAATTAATTGATAAAGCTTTTCAGAATTCAAGTATTAAACTGGGCAGACAGAGGTTCTGAAGATTCTCCACCTGCTTCTTTTTGGGAATGCTCACTCAGTGTGCTGTCCTACAGAGATAAACCATTTCTTATTATGATTTGGCTACAGAGCTCCAATGCTATTCTGTTGTCTCAGCAGTTTGAAAGCCAACGCATTACAAAGAAGCCACTAATGGTCTATTTTTGAGGTTTTTTGTTTGTTATATTTTTTGGTTGGGTGGCTTTTCATTGGGTTTTTTTTTTTTTTTGGTTGGTTGGATATTTTGGTATTTGGTTATTTTTTGTTTTGTCTTTTTTTATTCTGTTTCTCCTATGTATTAAATAAAACTATTCCAAGAGTTTTGATAAGATGCCTTTCTAGAAGTTTCCTCGCTGCGCCAGAAACTGCCTGGCTCTCACATTTCAAAGCCTTACACCACACAGAGCCACACAATGAACCTTTCCCAACAAATTCAGAGCTCGTGTGTAAAAACAATTTGTGGTTGATGCAGCTATTAATAAATGTTTCTACAAGCCAGCATCCCCACATTCCATCTCCTTACCTGGCACAGGAGTGGGAAGACACCTAAGGGAGTTATGAGTCTTAACAGGCAAAGGCATTAATTCCAAATTACATAGAGAGGCTAAACCTCTTTGCTCCCTTTATAAGCAAAGACCAGGATTTGGTGCTGTTTAATCAGAAATCAGGCTCTGCAGGTGTCCTGAGTTACCTGCAAACTCCTCCCTTTTCTCCACTGACAACAGAGCAGCACGCAGATGAGTCTCCTTTCCTTAAATAAAAGTCCTCCAACATTATGGAACCACATCCCCAGTTTTTTGTTGTTTACAGGGTAGTTAAAATGTGTCTTTTCAAGCTGGAATACACAGAAAGCAGGATTTAATGAACAGTCCTGCTGCTAGTGGTAGTTTAGCTCTGCAGATTTTTGATGTCTTAACGCACCCTTCCAATTAGTCCTGTGAAAAATGAACAAACTCAAGAAAATGCTTCAAAATATAGGATGAGTGTTCAACACTTGGTACAAATGAAAGATAAATTTGCACCCCATTAGGGAAATTTCTATGCATAAACAGTCTAATCTTAAGAGCTATGTTTCTTCCATAGACATTATTCTAACAGCATTTTAATAGCTCAAAGCAGCACCTACACCAGGTTTCTCTAATTAACATTCAGAAGAAGCTTGCAAGTAATTAGTAGCTTTAAATTTCTTGGTACAATCTGTAACCAGTAACTTAATCAGAATTTTAACACAGTAGAAAGGTTGTAAAAAATAAATCGCTTTCTCTCTTGAAGGCAAACATTTTTACAGTGGATTAATTTCAGAGGTTATTTTTAGTTTGGCTGGATAGTTAGCAGAGTTTTGGTGCTTGTAAGATTTCCATAAATCATGGAAGAAGGTGGCTTAATGATGCAGATGGCACAGGGTCAGGGAATGCACACGCTGCCTGCCTTAAAAAAAGGACATAAAACACGTTCCTCTCCCCATGGCATGCCTTGGAAACCTAAAAGGGTTTTTTATCTTTGTTTCACTTGAAAGTCAGCCTAGTAATTCAACTTTCTAAATGCAGCTTATGCCTTTTAAGAGGTGCCACCCTGAGCCCCATGTTAAATAGCTGTGTGCCTCTGGGGATGGTCATTTCAGTGAAAGGGTTGTGGTTGTCAGGGGGATAACAGGGGACCAAGCTGTCCGTCCCATTCAGGCTCAAGAGAAAGTGCAATCAAGCCCTTTATTTAGCTGCAGGTGATGATGGTGATTGCCTCAGATCTTGTAATAAAGCCAGACAGACCATAGCTCACAATTAAAGTGGCTGTAAAAGGTCTTGGTTGTAAAAGTGGGAGGAAGACAAAACCAGGAGTTGAGACAAAGTTTGTTGAGTGAAAAACTCATAGGAGTGACAAGTATGCAGCTTTTCAGAATGCTGCTGTTGTGATCTGGAGAGCAAAAATTATCCATGGAGCAAAAGTGCATACAAGATTGTACCATAATATATGTAATTTTAATAGATTTCTTATCTTCTATTAAATGCCACAAACTTTCCTGGTAGGTTACATCACAGAGAATGGGAATGCCAGATTTTGAACTCCTGGAGGGAGTCCCACAACTCCAGCTGCAGGACAGTCACTTCTTGGAAAATAGGGATGGACCTTGAGAATGAAACCTTCAACACTTCAGCTGGAAATAAAACTCATTTGATCAGTAGCAAAGGGTTCCATCTAAGCTACTTAACTAAAAAAAAAAAAAAAAAAGAAGAAAAAAGGAGTATTATGCTAAACTCAATGTATCTCACCAAAACAGGTGACTTTGACTCTAAGCAGAGGTAGGATGCCTGTGACCAATCTCTAGCTGGGTGAGAAGGGTGGCTGGATCAGCAGCAAATTGTTAGATTTGACTGAAACACTGGAGCCTCCAAGATGCCTTCAGAGCCAAAGATGAAGTTAGAGGTAATTCCATGGACTGCAGAGAATGAGATCTGCAGCTTGGAGTCATTATGCATTAAATGGCTTTTTTAAATGGTAAATGAAATAACCCACCAGCCCTGGCTGTTTTGGACAGGACACTGTGAGGGGTCGCACCCAGCATGGGGACACCAGTTAGAAACACTCTCCACATTATGATCTTGGCCTCTCAGCATGTTTTCTGACAAAATCTGGAGAGGAACAACATAAAACAGCCTGGACACAGACCCACATCCACCTCCCAGGCAGGATGGATGGGAAGGGCCCCCCAGTTTGGCTGCCTGCTGGAAGCCTCTAACACAGAACCAGTATTTACAAAATACTGAATCTGAACATCAGCCTCCCAGGAGAGATGTCAGATTCCACATCCATTCATTAAACCACTCACAAGATGAACACTGATCCAATTAACAGCACTTTTAGGCAAGAGTTGGTGCTCTCAAAAGCAACAGAGGACTCAGAAATGTGCTCAAGAATTCTTCATTAATATCATGGCCTCTTAAAGACTTCCTAAATATACATCAAAAAATTTGGAATGCAAATACCTTTCAACAAATACAAAATTTGGAGTGCAAATACCTTTTTTACCAAGATTTTTGTGTTAGCAATGGATGAATTTTAATAGTAATACCTGAAATAATTTCTGCTCTATTCACCACTGTTACATCACCAAAAATAGCTACCCCTTGTGCATCTCCTTGTTTTGGGTCAAGGTCAGCAGTGAGTTGCTGTTCTGGTGTTTCAGTTTGGAAAATGACAGAAAAGCCTTAAGCTTTCATCCTTTTCTACAAGGATATTCTTCAAATAAACTCTGTCCTTTACCAAATGGAAATAGAATATATAAACAGAAATGATCTTGACTGTGGGAAAGGTATTGGTCTTTTTTGTTTAAGATTTTACAGTTTGGAATAAATTTCATCCACACCAGCCAAAATATTATAAAATTCTTATAACTAAGCTATTTCATTTGATATATTCGTTCCCATTTGCTCTGCACCTGTATGCATTAAAAGGCTGAACTGAAATCTTGTGTGACTGGAAAAAAACTGCTATTTCATTCCTGAGACAGAACATTCAAATAACAAATGAAATAAACAATGTACCATTGGACAGCCTGTTCTTTAACCATGCAAGAATATGGCAGCTATATTCATTGTTCTAAATTATAAGTTTCCTGTAGAATTTCTATTTCTAGCTGAGGACAAAATAGAAAATATATTCAGCCAATTTTAAGTATTACCTCTAAGTATTTCAAAATGGAACATTTATTCCTTTAATCTTTTTTTCTTACTACATCTCAAAATATTTAATGAATTTTTAAACTACATTTTGTTATGGATGATACCATAACAATTAAGGGTATAGCACAAGCATTAGAGAATAATGTTTCGTAAGGAGTACACTTCATTGTGTTCCTGCAATCTTACCACCAGTGGATACTGAAATAATGAACAGTTTAAATAAACCAGTGACTGCTTATTTAGTTAATCTCCATAAAAATGTTACATTGTTTTCCATAGGATTTGTGTTTATATGAAGATGGGAACCCTGGGTAAAGAACTAGGTGTGGTTTTTTCTGCAGTTTTAATTACTGCTTTTTATTAAATCCTTTAAGTGCCATCTGTTGAGCAGAGAGTCCATAGAAATTAAACCTGTGTTTAAAAGATTCTGAAAATCTGGCATTACCAGTTGCTTTTTAAAGTAGGTCCTTTCAGAGCTATCTACAGGATAACATGTTGGGAAATTTGAGCTTGTAACATCAATTTTTTAACATTTTCTTCCTTTTCATTGGAGGGAAGCTCTGACTGCTTCTCTCATTTTGTCCTAAGAAACTTTTATGTTGGTTTTTTAATCCTTCATTTACAGATGGTGCCTAAAGGTCTTTGTTGATGCCTGAAACTTCCAGTGCACACACAAAGTCTCAGGAACCAGTTCCCAGAAACTTTGTCAGGGAATATGATAACAGTAATTAGTGCCCAAAAGCTGGACTAATCAGCAATAATGATTTCCAGATGAGGATGGATGATCCACCAGCACCATCACCTTGTGTCCTACAGTCACAGAGCAGCACAGAAATGCTCAGCATCTGTTACCAGCCACAGCTCTTTCCTAATGCTGGGAGAGCTGATTACCTTCACCAGCTGTGCCCTGGACAGAGAGGAGTCTGAGGCTCCTAAATTCCACACAATGAACTCAGGGATAGTTCTAAGAAAGTATTTGGATGACATTAACATCAGGTATTCCAATAGTTGGTTGGGTTTTTACTTTTAGAAAATATTGTGGAGAAAAGTGGCAATATAAATCCCAGTGTATCATTCTCTAAAGCAGCACCAAAGAGAAGGAATATACTTTAAGGCAAAATTGCATAGTCCAAGCACACAGGGAAGGAGGGAAGAAATAATTTAGCTCCCAACAGCCTCAAATAGTGAATCAAATTGTTTGCAGGACTCATGGACAGCAGATCATCCAGTCCTTGAATGAAAAGTGTACTTACTCCTTTTCCTTCAGGGTGTTTAGAAGTGGTGCCACCATCCCAGTGACATGAATTGCACAGAGGCCATTCCAGCTTGGGTGCACAAAGGTTGGGTCCCCACCACAACACACCCCAGCCCTGCAAGACAACTGGTGGATTTGGATAGATGGAGAAGGACAAAGATTGTAAAATATTCCTCAGCACAACAGGCAGTGGTCATAATATATTTGCAGACAAACATTTCTCAAGTTGATGTTAGGTATTGTGGCAAGGAGGAATTTTAAGGGCTAGACTCAAAGGAGGATGATAAATTATCTTATTAAAGGATATTATTATGTGAGCCCCTCCCAGCACAGCAGACAGGACAGGGGAAAACACATCTTAGGAGAATTTATAAACATCAGAGTGTCTCTTGGGCCAAGGTCACACTCCCATAAAGCAGTGTATTGTCACACCCTGTAAGGACAGGCAGACACACTCTAAGCTACTCTAACCCCATACTGAAGATTTACCTGGCAGTGCATTCCTGAGCTCATTTAAGCCCTGGCCCTGAGAGTGAACTTGCATCTGAAGGATTTGAGTAGGAAAGAAAGGATCTGATCAGGAATAGATAAAGATTCCTATTTAAAATCCACATCCACCCATGTCTCCCCTT